GTTGGGGTTGCCGGTCTTCGGGGAGATACAGGGAAGGCGGTGCCAGTGGGTGGCGGGTGTTGGTGTTGGTGGTCATAATTTTGCCGGAAAGAGTCGCCGGAAAATTATCCGGTCGATTATAGTGACACATTTCACGGTGATAGTGACATAAAAATTTGATAGTGACAAAATTCAAGTGACACAAAGAAATCATAGTGACATAACAAACTTGTAGTGACATTTTTCCAAATATATGACCTTATTAGTAACATTTTTGTCAATATCTAAAAGTAGTCACATTTATGGAAATTGACTTCTATTTAGTACTATTTAAGACAAAACCCCAACATAAATGACCGGCTTTATACACATGCTCTACTTTGATTACATTTTATTTATTAGTGTATGAGAATTAAGAATTAAAAATGTTTTTGAATTTTTCTCATTAGAATGTTTCATAAACTGATCGATTTCTTACTTTTTTACAAATTAAAAATTAAATATAATGAAGGTCAAAATTGTGTTTGACAAGTGTGAAAATGCGAATGTTGCGATTATTAAGGAACGGACGAAGGTGTGAGACATATTTTTTTGATGGTCTGGTTAGTCATACGAGACTACCTTTAGCAGAAAATTCTTGCAGTTGAAATTATACAAGAATAATCGATAATTGAGATTATTAAAATGGATGGACACTAATTGAATTTTATTATATGAAACAATTAAAAATTAAATTGAAGACAAGTTAACTCTAAAATCTACATGAAATTAAATGCAAAGTAGTTCAAGTAATGGACAAGAAGTCAATATGGGGAGGAAATATTGCTACTAGAACACCAGGAAGTTAAGAGATATGTTTGAAGAAATAGAAAACTTAGACATTGATGAAGGTGTTGCGTGTGGAAAAGAATAACTAAAAGCTCAATACCTTATCATCATGGACCATTGTTTAGAGTAGGTACTATCTTGTAATTCAAACACACTCATCAATTAAGCAGAGGGAGCCTGGCTACTCTATTTGCAAAATCCTAAAAAGCCAATTCTAAATTTCTAATCATTATGCATTAATCGATGGGCATCATGATCTTTTCGAGAATAATGACCAACCCAAAATAAATTAAACTCGAGTCAAAATTTTATAAATAGAAGATGAGTCATGACATAAATTTGTTCATTTTTTGTTTAATATAATGCAACTCATGATGATTTAAAGCTAAACTTGATTATACAGTACCTATGTACATGTGGTTTACCTTCCGGGTTAAAAAAATAATAATAATAGTACCTATGTACATTACACAAAGGCTTTAGTATAACTACGTTACTACGTAACGAGAAATCGAAAATATGGTAGCTCATAGTCTCGACCATTTAGGAAGTTTTCTTTTAGATCGTTTTCAGTCCCAGATCATATAAGAGTATTAGACTTAAACAGAACATACTAAATCAGATCATTTATAAAATACACAAAGACCAGATGTTTACCAGATCAGACTAGTTTAGACAAACCAGACTAGATCATACATAAACAGATCAGATCAGATCAGACCGGATCAGATCAGACCAGGTCAATAGATTTCATTCCAAAAAAAACATTCTTATTGTTTGCCACAAATACTTTGCAACTTGAAATTAAGCTACAACTAATATTAATGCGATGGAATTTTCCTTGAATATTACTCCCTCCGTCCTAACGTAATGTGTGGATTTTTTGATGATGACTAAGTTTTAATTTGTCAAAAAAAGTGGCATTGTTTGGTATTGGTATGGCATGATACCGGACTGTTTGAAAATGGAATCGTACCGAACGGGTTTAGGTCTAAGACCAAACCAAACCGAACCGAACCGTTTCAATAGTAACGGTCTGGGTACAGGTTCGGTAAAATATTGGACCGGACCGCGTCCACCATCGCTGTTATCCCTACAGGCCGGCTAGTCTCAATTACTAGTAAAAACTAAGGGCCTGTTTACTTGTGACTTAATGGACTTAATAGATATTGTGTAGTAATGATTCAACTACATAGTGATGTTTACTTGTGACTTTTTGAACAAATGGACTTATTCGCGCAGACGTATGATGACTTATTCGTTCAGCTAAATTTTTACACTCCTTCCGATTCAGACGTGAAGGTGTTGGATGTGTCTCTTTTTTAACCCTCTTCTTCATTCTTTTATTTCACCGCTCGCATCAAAATTCTCTCTACAAACCTACAATCTTCACCAATCGGAGTACTCATCGAGCTATCACAAAGCAGCAAAGAGCTCATCCTCTACCTTCTCCATATTGGTATTTTCTCTTAATTTATTTATGTTTTATATTTCTTTTATCTTTCTTAAATTGCAGCTCTTTTCCTAACTCTGAATCTGATTGTTCTCTTCCTAAATAATCTATTTTCGATCGTCTGGTAAAGTCGTCGAGTTGCTATATGTATGTTGCTATTCTACTTTTCAATTGTGAAATTAAAATTATTTTTTTAGCTATGCATTGAAGACCACGATGCACATCAGATACCTTATACTTCATATTTTTTGTATTGATATTAAATCAAGTGGCTTAAAATTTTCTCAAAGGAAAAAATTAATTTGTTTAAGGGTTAGTTTTACAAATGGAGAGTAATTAGTAATTACAGGTGCAGAGCATCTACGAATTACAACCACAGAGCTCAAAGATTGTAATTTGTGTGTATGGGAATTACAAACAGAAAGAATTAAAATTCATAATTTGTTAGTTCACAAGGTGCAGTCGGTTACATGTTCTATATCCTTTAGGTGTGTATACATATCCTACACAGTTGTAGTGGGTAAATTCCATGCTTTTGTAGCTCACATTTGTACCTTGTTTTTAATCACTTAACAATAGTTGTGATTTTTTTTGCAGATCTAGAGTAGATTTATTCTGCATTTGAGTTATTGTGACATATTCATCTCATTCTTTAGGTACGGAATACGGGTATGAATCGGAAATGTGTGATTTCTCTTGGGAGTCAAGGAATAAATGTGGTTGCATGAAGAATTATGCAACTTAAGTTGGATCCGTATTATGCGGGACAATGAGAAAATCTTCTATCACACTAACTAGAGGCAGAGTTGTCTAATGAGCCAAATATGCTAGGAGCTAGAATATGATGATAGGAAGAAAACAATAAACTACAAGGCTCAATTTTATTAGGAAGTTTGATTGTGTTTTTCGAAGTGTCAGTTTCTAATGTTTGAATGTAATTACGATCTACTAAAAGTAAAGTTTGCAATATTCAATGAGATGGGTCTTTATATTCAAATAAAATTAAGAAATGTGATGATTGATTGTTTTGTTGTTCATAATTTTATAAGAAATTATAAAATTGAACATGAGCTATTTGAGCCATGGGAAAATGAGACAGTATTCAAAAATGAACAAGAAGCGGAAGGTAAAAGAAGTGAGGAAATAGATGGAACACAATGGGCACACATAGAGCATACAATATATAATAAATGCACCAACATGAAAATAACAGATCAAAGGGTAAATTAGGGATTTAGTACCATTCAGACTACACATTCAGCACACATGGTAAGTAAACAACTCTGTATCACAGTGTCACTTAATCCAGACATATGTCCTAATACAGACAGATGTCTTAATCAAACAGGACTTAATTAACGGGAAAAAAGTAAACAGCCCCTAACTCGATTGCTTGTCACGCACAAACTCTCTGGCTTTTTCTCTAGCATGGTTACGTTTGTGGTGTTGCGACTCAACTTACTTAGAGTTTCACTCCTTTATACGAAGTATTTAGTTAATTCAATGCACACATTTACAAAAAAAATTCCAAATTGACATGAATTTGTCAAGGATTAATTGAAAATTACGTATCAAATAGTTCGTGTCAAAATGCGCATTTTTCACGGATTTGATATATATCTATCAAATCCTCTATGAATTTTTACGAATCTCTGTAAAAAAATCTTTGCTGGTCATGTGTGCTTTAGGTGTGCATTCACAAGTAGAAAGGAAAGTGATAATTTCCCAACGTTGGGCCAACGTATAGAGGGCTTGACATCTTCCCCCAACCAAACTAACTACAACAAAGTATAACTTTTAATTTGAAGCATATGCAAAATGTTGCAATAGATGGCAGAAATGTTATAATATATCAAATGTAGCATTTTTACTGTGTTACATCCGACTAGTGTTACAATAGATGTATTGTAGCAATTTATCATTTTATTGTAATATTTTTTGGTACAATAATGTTACAATAGATATTACTCGTATATTATACTTTCTCCGTCCTGTAAAATAGTTCTCGGTTTTCTTTTTGGGTCGTCCTAAAAAATAGTTCTCATTTCCCTTTTTGGAAAGTGTTGTTGGCTCACAGCCTTACATTCATTTACCTTTTTCTTACTCAATCACAATAATACATTTCCACATTAATCTCACTTTTTTAAACTCTGATCTAAGTCAATGCGAGAACTATTTTACGGGAGGGAAGGAGTAGCGCTAGTGCGCTACTAGCTAGGTACAAAATTGATGTTAGAATAGACACTTTTTTTTATTAGTGGGTACGGGCTCTGCTAGGTTAAAAAAGAGCTATAATTTCCGTAAATGAAAGTTTTAGCAATCTAATAACAACTCCTTATAAGATAAGTAAGAACAAGTTAAAGTAAATTAAAGGAGGATTTGAGGAAGACATGAAGCTAAGTGTAGTGTCACGTTATAGAATCCGAATGACTTGTCATGCTGGGATGGTGCCTTCGTCGGCGAGTGGGTAATTAAAGTGGACAGGAAAAATTAAAGCATATCCTTCATCAAATCATGAAATAGATAGCTCAGTAACAGTAATTAATTTCGTTGTCATTACTTTAACGAACGTGGGATATATATAATCACAAACCAGTTTAATCAAGTTAAACTTTATTTTTTTATCGTGTTGTCCAATATTGTGCACCTCAAATCCAACACGTGTTAATTGCACTTAGCTAACCTAGCCACTAAGCGTTAAATCAAGGTGCTAATTTTCGCTAATATTCTTTATAATGATTGAAAGGTTGATGCCAGCCCAGATTATAATAATCAGGAAAATAAATTACATTTAAAAAGCCAGATATGCTTACTGCTAATGGTACAATTAAAGTGAAGAAAATGGTAAAGTGAAGGCGAAATGAGAGCCCATTATTAGATCTCAAATCAAAACCAAAATAACCCTTCATCCATCTACTCATAATTAATTATGATTTCATATCACTAATCACCGGCCGGCCAACTGAATCGGAAATGATGTCTTCCGGCGATCACCACCACAACATGGGGAGGATGGAGCTCGGCGGCGAAGGGTCGTCGTGTTATCGGCCCGTGGTTGCGCTCCCGCCGCCGCAGCAACAACAACCGGCTCAGCAGCAACTGAGCCGGTACGAGGCGCAGAAGCGACGGGACTGGAATACCTTCGGGCAGTACCTGAGGAACCAGCAGCCTCCGGTTCCGCTGCCTCGATGCAACTACAACCACGTTCTTGATTTTCTCCGGTACCTGGACCAGTTCGGAAAGACTAAGGTTCACTTACAAGGATGCGTGTACTTCGGGGAGCCGGAGCCGGCGGGGCCGTGCACGTGTCCCCTGAGGCAAGCGTGGGGGAGCCTGGATGCGCTCATCGGGCGGCTGCGGGCTGCTTACGAGGAGAACGGCGGATTGCCGGAGAGCAACCCCTTCGCCGGCGCCGCTATTCGTCTCTACCTCCGTGAAGTCAGAGATTCTCAGTCCAAGGCTAGAGGGATCCCCTACAAGAAGAAGAAAAAGAAGAGAAATAATAGTAGCAAAAATAATAATAATAATAATAATAATATTGCATGTTCCTAAATATCGTAATGACGAAAAATGCCAGCCTTTCGGATGCATTAATCCTCTACGCCCCTTCAAATTCCCCAAGCTTTTAAGGTGAGAATGGTAAATTACTTTCCTCATTCCGCCGTTTTAATTAGAATAAGATGGTTTAATTAATTATTTCTACGGAGTATTATTAGCGTTTCTGTTACTGATAAATTATTTTGATTAATTAATAATGATGATATTACTTCAAGGGGCGGTTATTAGATACATTATATGGTTAATAGGTACATTATGTGTATGTATTTTGTTGCTGTAGTTTTTTTCTCTCATTATATATTTATATATATATACTCATTACGTCTTACACTGTTACTACGTATTTATTTATTTATACGATAGTATATACTGAGTACTTAGTATGAAACTACGCACAGAGTATATTTTAAAGGAATTATAAAGGTAAAATTTGATCGAACAAATTTAGTGATGCAAAAATGTGCTTTGAATATTCTTTATAGAAAAAATTAGCTAGGGCAAGTTGTAATGGAAATCTTCTCAACCACGCCCACGGTTTTCTGGAGAATTACAATGACCACGGAGTCAACAACATACCTAGTATTACATACTACGTATATAATTATATAAAGAATTAAAGTAACTTATAGGCTAGTAGTAGTTTTTTTAAGCATTATTGTTGAAATAAAAGTTATTTATAAAGAGAGTTAGTACATTTTTTAAGCATTGATTATACTCTATAGATAGTATAATATACTTCGTAGTATTCAGGGGCAGCACTGGGCCAGTATATAAAAGAAATTTTTGGAAAAGTTTTTGTACATAATTTGTTTACACTAAAAATAAAGACATTTTTTAAATTTGACGTGGGTCGGGGACTAGATTAGCCCCCCTCTAGCTCTTCCCTAATAGTATCATGATCATCTAAGTGTAAAAATTGAACATGAGTCCCTATAACTAATGTTACAAATTAATTTCAATTTTGGTCCTGTAAATTTTTACGTGAATTTCACATTCAGTTATTATCTTTCACTTTGTCCAATTTTGTTATTTGACTAATATTTTTTGACTATCTATGGATCGATCTTCCGTACATTTTTACAATGTTTCTCCAGCAATTTCAATCATCAAAAATATCGACCCAAATACCATACATGAGTGAAAAAATAGTAATGTATGTAAGAGATCACATCTTTGTAGTGCTCAAAGTCAAGTATGCGGCCAATACATTTCAAAAAAGTAATTGTTTCATATAGGACTAAAACAAGACTGAAATGCAAAAATAAGACTTCTTATCTTTTTTCCCCAAATAGGATCAATTTAATCCTATTACGAAACATAAAGAAATTTGCACCCCAATTTTGCCCATACGGTTATTTTTCATACGTAGAACAAATTTCTCTCCCAACCTCCCGTACCAGGCATCGGATCTACTTGCGCAGTAGAAGCTTTCTCCCCGACGCACCAGAAGCTTTCTCCCCTACGCACCAGAAGCAGCTTCATTCGACCGACCCTCTCTCTCACGCCGCCATCAACTCTCTTCTTCCGCACAATCAATCGGATGCGCACTAGATCTGCTTCTTCCGCGGCAGGAACAATGGATTCCTCTTTGCACATCGCTCCCATAGACATCGCTACCGCCTACTGCCACTCTCCCTCACGCCGTCGTCGTTGAGCTTCTCCTCTTCATTCTCCTATGCCTCCTTCTCCTCCTCCTCCTCCTTCTTCTTTTTGTTTCTTCTATTTCTCCGTTTTTCTGGATGTTGACATTGATTTTGCCAATTTTTGGGTTTCTGTTTTCTATTTACAATTTCCGATTTCTTATTTTTTAAATAATTGCCAATTTTCCAAAATTTTGGATGATGTCTTCAGATTTTGCCAAGTTTATGACAAAAATATGTATACTGACAAGTGATTATGGCAAATTCCATTTATGTAAAATGATTTTTCTAATTTTTTGTCATTAGCTTCATTTTCTAAATTTCCTATTGTGTTGACATGCTTATTCCATTTTTTTTTATTTTTTCAAATATTTGGATACTCAATTCATATTTTTACCAAATTTATGGCATTTTTGTTTTAATCTTCCAACATAAATCTGCCATCTTTATGGTAGATCTAAAAACCTGCCAACTTAATGGTGGCGGCGGCGAAGGATGGTGGCGGATCCAACAACGGAGGTGGCAGGCGGCGTTGGAGAGGGCGGCGGTAGGCGATGCCGGTGAGGGCGGCGGCAGGCAGTGCCAGCAAGGGTGGCGGCGGGCGGCACCAAAGAGAGAGGTAGTGTGCGGCGGCGAGGGTGGCTCGTTTGTTACGATTGAAATTTAGGGTTTCAACATTTTAATTTTACATTTTTAATTATTCATTCAAAAGAAATTGAGTAGGGACATATTTGTACAAGTATGTGATTTTAAGTCCTATGAAACATACATTTCATTTTTGGTCCTATTTGTGCACATGAATCATCTTTTAGTCCTATTTAGGGAATTAACTCATTTCAAAATTGATGTGATGCTCATATACTCATATATGATCAAAAATGAGATTTCTTACTAAAGCATAATAACTTTTATTTAAGCCATAATCATTTATAAATTAAATACTTCATCCGTTCCTTTTTAATTGCAACAATTCACTTTTCACATTTGCCAACATGCAAGTTTGACCATTAATATCTTTCATTTCTTATTAGTAAAAAAAGTAAAAAATTCACATTTTGAAAATTTAAAGTGAGAAGAATTTATCAATAATTTTTAAACTTTTAATTTATAATACATTAATAAATAAAATATAGTCAAAGAAGAATATGTGAATAATGCAAAAATTTAAATGTTACAATTAAAAGAGAATGGAAGTAGTATAATTAATAAATACATGAATATCACAAATTGACACTATGAGCTCACCACGCGACCTTGCGTACCGCTCCCTGTGCGTGTGTTCTCATGATGATGGAATTTTATGGTGATTGTGATGATCACTTTTTGTATATGAGATTTGCTTTAAGATGACAACCTTGTATCCATTTAAAAAATAAAGTATCTTATATATCATTAATTTGATTGGTCCACATCATTATATCATTTTTAATTTAGATTTAAATTATTCAACTGTACAAAAGTAATTAGTAATGTATATATATTAGGTATGTACCTTATGGGTACCATTACTAATTGTTCCATGTGGACAAAAGTATTATACCTTATGGGTACCATTACTAATTAATACAAAGGTATTAATTAGTAATGTATATATATTAGGTATATGAAAACTGTTTAAAATGTATTTGAGACCTGGTTTTCTATATACATCAGAATTCGGAAGAGAATGTATGTGAAGCAAATCAAGCAATTGAATTGGTTCTAGTTCCATACTTCCTCCCGTCCCTATTAAAGTTCTCACTTTTCTTTTTGGGATATCCCTTATTTAAGTTCACACTTCCATCGTAGGAAACAAAACAGTGCAAGCAGTGGCAAATAGTGTCAAACAATGTCCACACAGTGCCAAACAATGCACTCCATAGTAAAGTCAAATTTATTTTCTTAATATATGTGAAGTCAAACTGAGAACTTTAATAGGGACCGAAAGGAGTATATACTTTCGGCCTTGCTATGGGTGTTTGAAACACGGGTAGAGCCTGGGGTTAGGGTGGTCATCCAATTCCCTAAAGTTTGAGTGTGTGAAACACCAAAGTACTTTCGATTAGATATGGCTCATGGATAATCTAAATTTGACATGACTAAAACTTGATGTGTAATATCACTCGCAATTCTTTTTAAAGGAAAATAACTTTAAATAATACAAACTATCTTCCATGAATCAGGGATAATACGTATTTTGAAAATTACTTTTAATAATACCAACTATTTAAATATGAACCAAAAGTGATATAAAGCAAATTTCCAATGAAAATTCAGTCATTTAATTCATCAAAAATTAGTATTAAAATATCAAATAAGTGATTGTATTTCCAAATATCATTTATTTGATATTTTTCTATTAATTTTTAATGTCTTAAATGACTGGATTTTTTATCGAAAAGTGACTCCATATTATTTTTTGTTTATACTCAAATAGTTGATATTATTAAAAATCATTTTCAAAGTATGTATTATTATTGATTTATAAGTGATAGTTGGTATTATTTAAAGTTATTTTCCATTTTTTAAAATTACGTTTTATTCACTAATTGGCTACATAATTATAAAGGTTATAATATATGGAGTACCACATATAAATCAAATCAACAACTATCTATTTCTCGTTTAAACCAACATTGATTTCATATTTGAGTACTCATACATGCATATTGTAAATAAATTAGTCCAAATATAGAAGCAAAACATATACAGAACGCACACAAAAGAGAAGTTATGTTTTACTAAAATATAGACTAATTAAAGTGTACAAATAGAACCAAATATGTTCTATTCTCAAACTAAGACCTATTTGATTTTATTGAAGTGAAAGACTTCTATTTGAGGAGAAACCATTGGTGGTAGGCCTACCAATGGGTCGGCTCTAGATCGACCCGACCGGACATGGACCTGACTTTTTTAATGGATATGGATCGGATCTGCATTTAGTTCTTGTTTACCCAGACCCAAACCCAAACTTATTATTTATTATTATAAATGAGTCGGGTATAATACATGATGATCCGACCCGTTAAAGACCCGATATGTTTAAAATCTTTATTTGATAAAATACATACATACAATACACATGTATTTACAATTCTCTCTTTTTTATTTGAACTATGTCATATAGTGCATTATAAAAAAAGTTTAATTAATACAAGTATAAATAAATACTCTGAGTGAATTATCGAATAAAATTATAATTATATATAATTATAATTAGTAGTTACATATAGGTTTAAATTTAATCTAAAAAATCAGAATATATAAATCCTGATTTAGATGGGTCCACCTAACACGTTTCCTAAATCTATAGGAGCGGGGATATGGATAATATATTCTAGACCCGTCGGATAATGAATCCGAGTTAGGAATCAATATATATATGAGGAACTTTTTAAGAGTATACAAAGCGTCACATAATCCTGCCATATCATTATATATAACAATTATTTACTTATTTTATACCAATGTTTTTATTAGATTCTATTTTTGATTGCATATTGACAGGGCCGGTCCTGAGGAAATGAAGGTCCTGTGCAGAAAAAATAATTGGGCCTTCTTTTCAAAGTTTCAACACAAGTTAAAAAAACCGAACCGAAACCGCACCGACTCAAACGGGACTTGAAAGTCGGGATTCGAACATAAATCGGTTTAATGAAGGTTTTTTGAGTTATAAAATCGGTTCAAACCGAACTGAACCGATTTTTATTAAGAGGTATTTTAATTATTTATTTTGTAGAACAAATAGGTAATATAAAACTTGTACGTCCGTATTTCAACAATTAGTTGATTTGGTCCGGTGGTTCATGTTTAGAAATCAGCGTGCATGCTTTTATTTTCACCTGGGTTCAAATCGTGCATGCCTCGCTCGCTCCTCCTTTGCAGATGAGGAATACGGGAAGTGACGAATCAGGTCTGCTTCAAAGCCTTGTCCTAGTCCACCTAAGTAATACTACTCCCTCCGTCCCGCTAACATTGGGACAAGAGGGAGTGACACACCAATTAATAAAAAGTGGTTTATGTGGTTGATATTGAATTGATAAAGTAAGAATAAAGTAATAATGATTTAGAGCCACACAAATTTTACCAAATTTGGTATGAGACAATCTTAATGGAACGGACCGATAAGGTAAAATGAGACAATCATAGCGGGACGGAGGTAGTTGTATACTACTACAAAAAAAATTGGGCCCTTCCAATTTTTTGGGCCCTGTGCGGTTGAACACCTTGCACACCACCAGGGCCGGCCTGCCCTGCATATTGATATAGAAACAAAAATCCTTATAAATCCACCTTAAATTTCTGTGTATGTAGCTAAATAGTAAATGCCAAAATAATGGAGGAACTGGGAAAATGTAAAACAAAGAGTATTAGTTGATGAGACTATTGTAGAAAAGACAATAGCATATTTAGAATGAAAAAGTACTAAAATGGAATGCATTTAGTTAACTTGGCTTGTGTAAATAGTAATTGAGGACTGCCATAATAGTGGACAAATTGGGAAACATGTAAAACAGGGAGTAATATTAATATTATGATGTCATACTTTACCTCATTATAAAATAGTTGGAGATAGTTGGATACATAATGACAAAATGTTGGAAGAAATATTAATACTGTAGCACACGTTATGTGAAATACAAATTGAATGGTCATAGTTTCGGAAAGAAATATATCTACTTAATGTCATGGAGCGTGAATTTAATGACACTTTATTTGAACTGGTGATGTTATGGAATAAGGATGTCATGTGTTACAAGATTTTAATTAATAGTTGGAGAGACGTGGAAATAAAATATACATAATGACAAAATATTGGAAGAATTACTAATTTTGCGAAGCAGAAGTTATGTAAATGACAACTGTAATGGTCATATTTTTGGAAAAAATTATGTACTTACTGCCATTGAGTGTTAAACTATTATAAATGTAATGACATTTTTTTGGCTGTTGGTAATATGGAATAAGAATGTCATGTTTTACCACATTGTTTGCTTAATGGTAGTGGACATTTTAGTTATGCCAATTTTTTTTTGATAAATCGGGTGATTCAGAGATCTTTCAAGGAAACTGAATTGGAGAATATTGAGAGCATGCGCATTAACTGCTACTGCAATCTGAGTGATGTTGTGAAGAGAATATTGATGAAACTTAATCCAAATGAAGTAGAGGAGTTCAAAAAGACAGTGTTCGGATGAGTTTTGGATGTGGAAGAAATGAAAACAATTAGTGGTCAACTGCAGCTCGTTTTCTATGCAACTATGTGAAGAAGGTAAACCACATAAAAGAGACAGAAGCTATTCGCTTCCACATCCAAAAGAGTGTAATTAGCTTTAACAAAAAAGATTTATGCATGACACTAGGATTGAAAATGGATGCTGTGAAACCAAGTTTAGAAGAGGAGAGGAAAGGACCTTTCTGGGAAAAATACTTTGGAAAAGCAAGTGTGAAAAGAAGAGAGGTACAAAATGCATTGATGGAATATAATAGTGAAGAAGCAGGAGTTGAACAAAATGATGGTGTGAAGCTTGCTCTACTTCACGTGCTATCACATGGATTGTTTGGGAATCAAGTGGCTAGGGAATTACCAAGCTCTTATGTAAATCTGGTAGAAGATTTAGAGGCATTCAACACATATCCATGGGGTGAAGATGTTTGGGAAGATTTGGTGAGCAACACGAGGACAAATGCCAAGAGCCTTAAGAAGTGCAAGGGAGAACGTGTGACTGTACCAGGATGTCTAATAGCAATACAAGTCTGGGCATTTGAAACTTTTACAGGGTTGGCAAAGGCAGATATATGCAAGGTAATTGAAGGGAGAGAAATGTCAATTCCAAGAGCAGTGAAGTGGGAGGAGTTCCTAAAAAAGCCGCATTTAGAAGTTTTCTGCAACATAATCTTCACAAACAAAGAGGTAAATCCACTTATGTCACGCCC